GCGCTTTATATGACGACTACCGGTGCTAACAGTTATGCCAAACAATCTATTCATTAATAATTATATTTATTTTAAAAAACTTTATTTAATTAATGAATATCTGATGAGAGGTTCGCATAAACTCTAAGAAATAGTTTTCAATGTTATGTCGAAATGAGATATAAGTCGAGATTTTTGGCACAATTTTTGTCAATTTAATTGCTTTTGAAGCCAATTATTGGCCCTTTTATTAGCGCTGAGTGTTTGATATAGCGATCACTATATGGACACTATGTACTGGAAATCGTTATTAAATATGAATTACAATTAAAACCGATATTTGAAGTTAAGGTCACTTTCGAAATGTACTGTAAATACAGAGTTAAAAGTCTTATCAAATCATGTGTTTTGTTAGTACAGTCCACTTGCGTTATGTTATACATTATATCTGTTAAATTTAATGTAAATCATTGTGTGGGTATTATAAGATCAAATTAATTATTATAACATTTAACCTGGATATATTTTGAATTAATTAGAGTAGCATGCTAATTATAAATTAATATAATAGTTAATTTATTTAACGGAATAATGTATAAATGTTTGACACGACTGTAAAGTAGACTGTCGTCAGACATATGACAGATTATGTAACATGCTCATTGTAATGATAATAAAAACGTGCATGATCGCACTACGTAAATACGTCCTGGATCAGTCGAGAATCAGTACAATTGTCTATTGAATAAAAAAATTAATACAAAATCTAAATTAATTCAAAACTTTGCCCACAATTAGCGCCCGTAATAAATGCCGCTATTTATGAATGGCTGCGAACTCGACGACAGTTGACTGTATTTGTTGTGATATTTTGTAAACACTTTGTCATGAATTGAATGTTCAGTCAATTGATTGCAAACTGAACCCAAAAGTGGTGCAAAACACGTGACAAATGGTTGTCAAACACTGTGTCTATAAGGACTGCGAAAGCGATTCCCGCTATTGGGACAGGGATTACATGAAAGGTATGTCCGCTCGCACTGTCAGACCATTACCACAGCACTCGTCTCATACCATATATCGGTGTCCATTGTCTTCAGGCGTGTGTTTCATCCGATTCCCAAATCCGGTGACACATCGCGAGAGGTGCGAGAAGTGGGTGAAGGCCTGCGACCGACCCCTTGAGCTCACCA